CTTATTTTACGCCCTCCCTCCGGGGAGATGTTGGGCCAGAAGTTACACTTAGATACAGCCAAAGTGAGCGTAGTCACAGCCTAGAATCGGAAACCTATTGGCTGTTCCTAAGAGATCACATGCTGTAGTGGCTGTCCCTTAATTGCCTTACACTCTGTAAAATAAAACAAACTCTTTTATCTAGAAATCAAAATAAATATTGAAACTTTTGAAAGTGTCTGCTCTTTTGCCAACATGAACACCCAATGTCACCAAAGAATTCACTACCAATTTTATTAAAAACGTTTCCCTTGAACACAAGTTTGGGACACTAATTGTCAACGTCAAAAGGACAATTCCAAATACAATTACCCTTATTATATTAAAGTAAGAACCGCCGAAAATGGAAGGGGGGGGGGTTCTCATACACAACCTATCGAGAATGAATGTTTACGAGCTTAGTACAGAAAATATTCTTTTGAGCAGTAATGGAAACAAAAAAAAAAAGCACGCGTCTGACTATGTTACAGGGTATTGAGCAGGAAATTAAAAGTATCGCAAAACCCAAGGAACAAAACTTTGGAGGAGGGGTTTCATGAGCCTGATAAAATAGTTTAAATAACTCAGCTCAGCTATGAATGACTGACACAATCCGACAGGTAGCATATAAGAATTTTATATTTGGTATATTTACAGTGCGTGTAACAGGGCCTCTTGAAAAAATCCAACTCTTTGGGATAGCCAAAAGGTACCCGATCCTAAATGACCCAGAAATTTTAAAGTGGCCGTATGTGGAAATCGATGTAATGATCCCGTAAAGAAAGACCATAATGAGATGTCAATAACAATAACATTCATCCTTAAACTGTGTATATCTTGTAGCACACTGTTCAGGGGAAATTTTAATTCTTAATAAAGGTAGATGTGGCACCTCATTGTGGCTAATGTAACCTTCACATATTTTTATATTAATGTTATTTTTTAAATGAGTATGCCTTATACTTGTATGAAGGATGATATGAGATCAAGCCTATACATAAAGTAAATGATCAGTATTTAATGGAAAGTATCGATAAGAGATATATTTAGGATTATCAAATTGAAGATTTAAGAAGTGTAGATCGAGTCATATATTAAGTATATAGCCTCAATCACGACACTGTACCTGTGTTTATCATTGTGCCTGATTTTTTATTTTTAGTATTTCGGGTCTGTGATGGACGGTCTGATGTAAATGATGAACTTATTTTAAAGGGAGAAATGGTCACTTTACCTTCATACAGCTAGACATCAAAAGAGTGTCTGAGCACATGCTAAAAAAGCTATTGGTGATCTAATAAAAAACATTATATACTAATAACGCATTAGTATACGCATATAAAAAAAAGTAAGTGGTTATAAAATTGATAACAAACTCAAGAGATTTGTTCAACGAGTAAAACCTTGCTTATTTAGGAGAAATGAGTTACGCAACCCAGCCTTTTCACGCTTGAAGATTGTACTCAGATCTTTTACTCTTTACTGTCCTTCTTGTAATTGCAACCCAGCCTTTTTCTGCCCCCCCCCCTCAGATTTTTTTTTATTCCTTACTGCCCTTCTTTTCATTGCAATCCAGCCTTTTCCCGGTCCCCAGATTTTTTTACTCTTTTGAGAGTCGCGTATCGAGCGAGGGAATGCAGTTTGCCCAGTCGGGTGGCTTGACATGACTTTTAAAATTTGAATAGCCTCAGGCAGACAAAATTTATTTTGTCTACTACTTACTTCCCTGCGTGTTTTTTATTTCACTAATTTTCTGCACAATGTAGCTTTTTTAAAAAAAAGCATATTCAATACATACAGAATATTGTTTTATGGGGTTTACTATTACTTATATTTTTTTTAGGCAGATACGTTCTTTTCATGACGAATAATAATGAAGATAAAGCCCTTACCCTATAGCTGATTTTTTGTTTGACTCAAATTTGTTGTGGTTTTTGCCACCAAAGTTTGCTTGAATTGTCACCAACTGGTTTTGTTTTGCTTTTTTCTTTTAAATTTTTGCTGCAAACAAATTTGTATGTAAAATGAATAACAGTTACCAACTGAAATTGTGTTAGAGTTGTTTGCTGCTAATAATTTTGTACGCAAACAATCAACTGAAACTAAACAGATGTCTGTAAGTATTTCATGCAAGTGCTTTTTGCTGTGAATGTAGCTCAGAGCTTCTTGGTTTGGTGCAAAGATGGTCTGTTCTGACAACTCCAATGATGTTGAAGCGCTAAAGGGAGAAAAGCTTGGAATTTGTAAGGGTTCACTTTGGTTTCTGATTTTTATGCAAAATAATTAGAACGCTGGTTGCTACTGATGGGGGACATAGGCTAAATATAGCTACAGAGTAAATATGGCTTTTTAAACTCAAATATTTATTGTAAAGTCTTCTGTTTTTTTCATTACTCCAAGTTCCCTCTTCAGTACCTTCAGCATCAGTGCAAAGCGTAATGCTTTTGTTTTTTCATCTAGCTTAATAACTTTTTAGTGTTTCTACTTTCACACTTTGCTAATGAATGTTTCTAAATTATACAGTAACTGGTTCTATATTCAAGGGATGAAGCTGCTTTTCCTTTTTAAATGTATGGGTAGCTCCCATGTTATGGGGTTTACATTCAGGATTGAGACGGATTTTGAATAAGACAACTTTATAACAGAATAAGTATAACAATCACATCTAACACAAAAAATAACTCACCTCAAATAATTTATATTTGAACAACCTACTAGTGTGTATATGCCTGTTGATCACACGTAATTTTAAGCGCAAATACGTTATAGAGGTGCTATGACCAAAATTTTGCAGGAACTTCATCTAGATTTAATTTGAACTCCTTCGAATCCTTCTTTGCTTTGCATATGATATTATTCTGTAGTTGCTCCTCCATTGTGGATGTGTGCTGTCTCTGTCTTTTAAGCACTGCCCATCATGCGTAGTGTGGTGGTTCAATACAAAAGAGAGGGAAAAATTGTGTCGAATTAATACATAATGGTGAAAGTTGTTATCTGTGTAAACGGAAAAGGTATTGGTGCGTTTTATTTCCGTTGTTGGTTTTGCCTTTTGTAAGACTTACGCTTGTTGAATGTCTTCTTGGTGAAAGAATAAAAATAAGCACCTAAGAATTGAAAAGGTGGAATGTCCGACGTGAGGTGTAGCTGGAGCCATTTCACGTCATCAAGTCGTACAGGCGTATTTATCGGCCACAGCATATTAAGGCTAAAAATTGAACGTTGCGTTTCCTTCTATTTTGGTACACCACGCAAAAAATGGCTAAGGAATGACCATCATCCCAAGAGAGCGTACCAGATCTTTTTACGAACAGCATTAGTGTACGTTTGCAGTTTTCGTTTCTATAATAGACACCCAGGTGTCTTAATGCGGCAAAGTCGTTCTGCTTTAGACATTTCTGGGTATAACAAAGATTTTTCAACAGCTGAAAAAAAAAACCGCACCTCTTTTTTTTTTTGTCTCTCCCCACAATCTCGCAAGAAAAAGTGTAGGAAGCTTTCCTTTTTATGCCACCTTTAAAACCAGGTTAAGCAGGTAATTATACAGGCATGATGGCTCGCTTTTATTTTTGTTTTAATTTTTCTTTTAGCTTTCCAGTTTGAAACATGTTATACCGTTTATCAGGTATTTGACCTTCATTTTAATGAATGTTGGCCTGCTGATTTAGACTAGTGAATTAACAACGTGATACTAAAACCAGCAACTGGAAATCCAGGTCAGGAAACTTATAAATGCAACAGACAGCCGACAAATTCTCATGATAGATACCATCATCTTTGGGAAAGGATCGCCAAACGACAGTTTGGAATTATAAGCAATTTCTGTGGGCTGTCTATAGACGATGAAGATAATGATAAAACGTTATTGAGGGATCATGAAATAATTGAATGCTGAACTTCACTTTACGAGATTTATATTTGCTACAAGAAGTGCAATAGGTGTAATCGGACAAACGAGAGCCAGAGAGACAAGATCAGAAAGTACTGGTGAGATTAAAAATACAGCAAATCCACGAAAAGAAAAACAGAAGGTGGATACGAGATCTAGCATAACATGAGAAGTATGACGCGAGATAAGAGATGATCAAGACGCATAAGGAATACTTTGTGGATAAGGGTGTAGTATACAAGAAAATAGAGGTATGTTTCGGCTTGATGATATGAGGAGAACAAGAAGTAAGAAAATAAGGTGCTGAAAAAGTATTTGGGGTACCGATAAAAATAAAGAGGTATGGCCACTGTAAATCTATTTCAAAATGTTTGGGGGAGAATATAAAAGGGATTTGGGATAAAATGGTGTAATCTCGAGAGTGTGAATTATGTTAAAATTTTCCTCACAGGGTGTACTGTAAAAAAATGGCAACAGATGTAAAGCGGTACATAAAGAACGAAGAATTTGTTTGTTTTCTTTTCTCTGTTTGCTTAACTTAAACTGTGCTTGAGGCGGGAGGGGGATCTTTCAATTGAAAGCACAAAAGCTCCAATAACGTAATGTTATGACAGTTGCTGTTCTTAATACAAGCAATTTTGACAGGAGGTCAGCAAGCATATTGGTGAAAAAAATTAGAGCATTTAATAGCGCCTACATAAGGCTTTACGATATGGTGATTGTTTTCGTATTTCTGTAAGTTTCTTTTCTTTTTATAGAATTTCCCTTCGCCATTGACTGACCAATGTTAAGGTCAAGGTTTTAAAGCTTTCCGTAGTCTTTCTATGTTGAACACACTGAGTCTCTTCTAAAAACGGCTGGGAAAAAAGTGCTTTGAACGTCATTTTAAGTGGTGTTGTTATCCTTATTGTAGTAAGAGTAAAGGATGTTTCGCTAAGTAAACAGTGGGCTTATTTTACGCCCTCCCTCCGGGGAGATGTTGTGCTGGAATTTACACGTTAGATACAGCCAAAGTGAACGTAGTTACAGCCTAGGATCGGAAACCTTTTGGCTGTCCTTAAAGATCACATGCTGTAGTGGCTGTCCCTTAATTGCCTTACACTGTGTAAAAATAAAACAAACTCTTTTCTCTAGAAATCAAAATAAATATTAAAACTTTTGAAAGTGCCTGCTCTTTTGCCAACATCAACACCCAAAGCCACCAAAGAAATCACTACCAATTTTATTAAAAACTTTCCCTTCGAAAACAAGTTTGAGACACTAATTGTCAACGTCAAAAGGACAAATCCAAATATAATTGCCCTTATTATATTAAAGTAAGAACCACCAAAAATGGAAGGGGGGTTCTCATGCTCAACCTATCGAGAATGAACGTTTACGAGCTCAGTACGGAAAATATTTTTTTGAACAGTAACGGAAAAAAAAAAAAAGCACGCGTCTGACTATGTTACAGGGCATTGAGCAGGAAATTAAAAGTATCGCAAAACCCAAGGAACAAAACTTTGGAGGAGGGGTTTCATGAGCTTGATAAAATAGTTTAAATAACTCAGCTCAGCTATGCATGGCTGACACAATCCGACAGGTAGCATACACGCCTAGAGTAAACAATACCATTTATGATATATTGGGGGGGGGTCAAATAAACACTTAACATCGGGTACCATTGGCCCAGAGTTTTTTTTCGTCAAAAATAGAATATTGTACGATGTTTTTGTGTTTATTGTTTGTCCCCCCCCCTCCCCCTATTAATTTTGTACCCCCAGAGCACCCCCACCCCCAACAAAAATCAGTCGCCGTTTTTTACATACACCCCCCCCCCCCCCATTTCGCTTTAACATGGATGAAAACAATAAATTTCCCACTTAATTAAAAAGATACAGGTATTACTTGAGTATTTATAAAGAAGAATTAGTGAATAATTTTATCGTATCTACAAGTTGTATTATGAAGCCACCATAAAGTTCCAAAATGGGACTTATTGACGACGGAAAACTGTTGGTTATTTCTGATCTGTGCATCTATAGGCATTTGTGACATATCAAAAACATTTTAAACCTCATAGTCTTCGGAACTCGTATCTTCGATTAAAAAATCTTGGGATGGCAGTCTACGGGTTACAAAGTTTCCGGCCAGGTCAGTTGCGCATGTGCTGAAAATGCTTACCAAACCAAGATGTTCATCTCTTATTGGCACAAATTCAAAAGCTTCAACGAATTAATAACCGTTTGCTTTTTGGGAAATCCTTCCAAGAGTTTGGCCATTTGTTGGGCTGTTCATGTTTCTGAATAGAGCAGCGAGACCAACAGTCAGCTTATTATTACTGTTATTATTGTCTAACAATTCAAGCTCGCTTTGAAAAAGCATTGTATCATAAGACAAAAGAACTCCTTCACTGCACATTTCATACATTGGTGCCGAAGAATCTCTTATAAATGATCCACCTTGGCACATATGGCGTAGCATATATTCTTCCGAAAATCTTAATGCTACATCTCTTGAACCATTATGGCAATTAGTATGGCATAGTAGCTCTCGCATAAACTTGTGTTGCTGTTCACAACGTTCAGCCTCAGTGTGAGAACCACCAGCAAATATTTCTACATCGTCTGATAAATGGACTAGCAAGTGTGCTTTTAGTCTGCTACATAATGATGAGAATTTCATTTTTGCTAGGGGAGTTTGTCCAGAATTTGCTGATCTACCGTGTGAATTTTGTATTGATGTATGCTGAAGATTATCCATAGCCGCTATTGTTTCTGTTACTAAAACGACTAACATATTTCTATATTGTTCGAAATTATCAATTTTTTCCATGTATATGAGAGAAGAAAGTGATCCTAACGTGTTGAAGCAATTGAAAATTGATTCGAAAACTGTTTGGCTAGGATATAATCTGGGATTATCCAGACGCGATTGTTCAAGCAACGAAGGAAGTAGCTGTACCATGATCTTGTAGTCTCTACCGACAAATGAGCGAATGTTTTTCAATGATAATGTCAAGTTACGGTGTAAAGCTTTTGAGTTGTAATTGCGGAATAGATCTGTCAATGACGCAATATGATTATTATCCATAAAGTTATCATACACAATTATGAAACAATATTTTGTCATTCCCAGTAACAACGTGTGAAGTATCTCGACAGGTAGGTCCTTTGAAAGATCGATGGCATCCAATTTTAAAAAATGCTCACCGCCAGTAAACTTAAATCCAAGTTTGCTCCAATCGCTTTCAAATGCAATCCTTGCCCGAGGACGTCCCCTATTTGGAAGAAAAACAGGTTCCGGTCTTTGTTGATATTGCAAAGTCGCAAAGTCTTTATAGTCCTGGAGTGTACGAGAAGGTGCAGAAAAACCAGATGCTCTGTAATGCAATGATGGTGGTTGTCCATTAGCATCCACAGGTTTTGATGGGTCCGACTGCCAGTAACAGAATCGACAAGGATGGGTGGCCCTAGATCCTTTGTGAAGAGCAATTTCGGCCTGACGTACATTATCACCACGGATGAATAAAACTGGCGAAATCACGAAAACATTCTGCTTGAATTGGGAATCGTACATAATCATCCCCTTTTCCAAGTTGTACAAATCATTCGTCAAGGGTTCTATCATTTCCATTGCCGTTATTTTATGATTACTTGTACAAATGAAAAAATGGTTTTCGTATTCATTGCTTATTTTTAAAGGAAGTGCCGATATGGTCATGGTCCAAGTATCAAAACAATTCCATTTCTTGGATCTATTTCCACTGGTATTGTCAGAGAACAAAGATATTGGGACAATTCGAACTTTCATATGTCTCCTTGTTAAATGGTCGATTGGAACTTTATCGCGTTCGGAAAGGCAGTAGTTGATAAAATCTTTATGGAACCCATTTAATTGTCTTGAGTGGGTTCGTACAACCTGATCAGTGTTGCTGACGATATTCATCGATGCGAGTAGATACATGTCAATTAGTTCCAAAAGAGATAAGACGAATGAAACACTTGATATAGACATGGTATTCTTTTCTGAAGTAAGTATAGCCAAAAAGGTGTTATGATCAAGCTCTATGGCATATGCTTCAATAAAAATTTGCCCTTCGAAAGTAAAGAATTTTGAAATAATATGTGTTGAGCCAGAAGAGTTAATCACTACATCCCCTAACCAGAAATCATTTGAATTTCTGCTCACTTCTTTTGGAACCATGGGAGACTGGAATAATGGGCATTCCTTCCATTTGAGGCCTTGATTGAGTGTGGTTCTCTTGTTTGGGGAAAAATCCGGCAATGAATTCAAAAGAGAGACCTTGGTAGTATTCGCCTTTAACAAACGCAGATGATTCGATGGTTTGATGTACGTCAGATCGACGGTCGAACCATCACCCTTGGGAACAGTAAAAGTGACCACCTCAAGACGAGGGAACTTTCGTCTTTCGGAATGACTTTTGCAGATACGATCGTCAGATGGTACGTTTTTGATAGGATCAAATCCTTGCGGTCGATTCTGGATTACGTCTCTTTCTTTATGCGATATTTCGATAAGAGATCGAATCAAACGTAATGCTTTTTAGGCGATTCTTTGCGAAAATCTGTCCTGAGAGCCTTTGAAAAACATTAAGCATTTGAGTTCCATTTCATTTTTGAATGGATAAAATGGATTGGCATGAAAGGTTGAAGTATGATCTGGTTCTTCATGTGGTTGACTGGCGCTGTCTATCAGATCACTTTCGTCAAAAACATCATAATTGTCATGATTGTCATTATCATCAGAATAACTAGATCCATCTTCTAATTCGACCATGTCGTTAAAAGATTCGACAGCGGGAACATCATTTGTCATATCATAATCATCAGTGTCTGTGTCACTATTAAATGGATATTAACATATATAAATTTTAAAGTTACAACAAAAATCTTACTGCCAAAGACGTAAGTTATGTGCTAAGTCTAAATGGCGATTCGCATTCGATGGATTGGAGAAATATTTCTTGCAAATGGGGCACTGTGTCGAAGGCTCGTTTACGCGGAAAGATGAAAACTGAGAGGACATTTTTGCGATTACAAATCGAAACAAAAAATGGAAAAAAAGGAAATAGATGCAAGTTATTTATTTGTTGAATGTGAATTTATTTTACTCCTCTTTTTCTTTCACGTATTGATTTTTCAAATTTTCTCTTTGGTATGTACCGTTGTCTATTGGTGTTGCTAAGTAAAAAAGTCTTCAAAAAATAGCAGACGATAACGATACTAAAAACTCGATAGGATTATTTTAGAATCTACTTTGTACTTTTATTGAAAATCAACTTTTTGTAAGCCTTTATAAATGATCTTCACATGGCTCTTTACTTTATTAACATGTACTTTATAATTAGCTTATTCGCTCAGGATATACCGAAAGGAAGAAAGGTAGATCTTATTATTCTTTAATTCATACATTTGTTCTTTAACACAGTCTTTTTATTCCTTAAAATATGGTTAGATTACATAAATCATCAAACTAAAGGTATATCAGATTTTCATCTTAAAAGTATGATACTTTTTCTAATGGCTATCTTTCTAAAACAGACTTATATCAGTATCTGTTTTTTCCCGTTACAGTACTATTACTCTTCTTTATGGCTTATTTTATAAATCATTGCAATACAAGTTTTATACAATAAAACAGATTTTTATGACGTAAATATAGCATGTAAACGTATATAAGCATTTCTCCGATGCGTATTACAGATAGCTTCCCCCAAAAACCCCCAATCAAAGACCCCCCCACCCCCATAATCCAAAAAAAGTCAATTTTTTGATCCGCCGTTCGTAAACAAATAACACAAACAAAGCTGCAGAAAAATACACTGGGTGTGTATGCAAATCATTGAATAAACAAACGATGCAAATCGTGGCTAAAGGTCTTCACCAGGGGAGCGAAAAAACACAATTTGGAAACCCCGAGAATAACTACGAGAATAACTACCAGATTAATTCCAAATGAAGTAAAAATGTGACTAAACAAACATGCAAGCATACATATTTTCACTATAATGACTTCGCTATAATTTTATGCTGTTTGCAGCTAATGACTTTAGTAAAATCAAATCCGGAAATGATTTTCTAACCTTATCCTAATTTGAATTAATCTGGTAGTTTCCAAGGTGAAATATGCCTTGGAAACTACTCAAAATCACAAACATTGCATGTATACTGCATGTTTGTTTAGTCACATTTTTACTTCATTTGGAATTAATCTGGTAGTTATTCTCGTAGTTATTCTCGGGGTTTCCAAATTGTGTTTTTTCGCTCCCCTGGTGAAGACCTTAAACAAATAACTTAATTATTGAATGATCCCATGTATTTGAAACATAAAGCTTAATCTATTATTACTTTTTAGGTCTTAATAAACATTTGTATTTAGCGTTTCGGGAATTGCCAGGGTTGATCCTACACTATTCGCACAAAAACACACAGAAACACGCACATACACATAAGGGCGAGGTTTCATAAACGTTAATTGTTGCATATAGCAAATTATTCGACGTATAAGGGAATATTATGAGGAGAGTATGTTCTATATTAGTTTATTTTATAAACAGTAAAAAAATCAGCTCTGTATATCTTTTTTGTGAAAGTATCTCCCGTATCAGACCTCAAAGGAGAGTAAACCAGCGCAATCCGCTACGGCCAAGCATTAAAGTTAATTATGCAGCGCAATCGCGTTGTTCCTATATTTTGACAGTTTGCATAACCTTTTAATAAAAATTGGATACTGGGGCATGCTTAATAATATATGTTTTTGTTTACCTACCGTTAGACTGACATAATGGTCCGGGAATTGAGGTGGTTAAGATGATATAAAAAACATTTAAAGTGTATTTAAAAAATATGTCTAAATGATATCCTATAATAGATACGCATGTTTGGATTTTAAAAAACTAAAATGAAACAATATATGATTATAAATTTGGCATGACAAGGGTGAGAGTAAAGCATTACATTTTAAAAAGTTTGAACAAAAAGAAAGAAAAGATATTATCTAAAAAAGCCGAAATAGATATTTCCTTCTTTTCCTTTTTTTCTACACTGGGGGCAACTGATTCTTTGTAGTATGCATGTGGAGTAATACTTAATAGACTTGATAGTGGATGACTTCCAAAACGCGGAATAGAATTGAATAGAATAGACTTGATTTTTTGGGTTGTGTAACGCGTAATTAACCTTAAATTTTACAGCTTAAAATTTTGAAGTTAATTCGACCCCCCTACCCCCCCCCCGAATTAAAAAAAATTAACAAAAAATCATCTTTCTATTAAATAATTCATTTCTGATAAACGCTAATAACATTCAGATAATAAATATGAGATATATGGATAATATCTATCAAAACAGTTTATTTATTTGGCTCTTTTACGCTTCTGAGAACCGTCTTTTTTGCCCTTTCAGGAGAAGTAACAGTAAGTTGCTACTGTGCATATAAAAATGATGGGTTTTAGTGCGAATGGAAGGAGCATCATTGATAATAGTTAAACTACCTTGGTTACCGGTGTCTGGATGTATTCAGACATCATTGTCATCTGAAAATGTAGCTGTTTAGGTAAAGTTTTGCATATATGGTACGGGTCAAAAAAGTTAATTCTATTTTCAGTGTTTTGGAACAAAAGTAAAATTAACTCGGAAAATCAAATTTCCGAAGTTAATTCTATTCTATTTAATTCTATTTTGTGTTTTGGAAGTCATCCAGTATGTTTGTAAATAAAAATCACGTTAAACCCTAAAAATTGAAAGTCCATTTATACTGGTCAGGTACCAAAGGTCTTACACTTTTTCGGTCTTGATTGGAATAGCACAATAAACACTGTATTAAATGAGAGCTCATCTGTGTATATGATTATTTCACCTTTTTCATCCAGAAATTTCTTATTTTAAATAAAACTAGACTTACCAACTCCTCATCAAGATATTCTTCTTTGCCTATCAGAGAAACTAGAAGTCGTAGTAGCTCCGTTTTGTCGGTGACAGACAATATTCCACAAGAAGATATGGTATCTATTGCTCCCATAAATACGTCGCAATTCAGCAGCAGAGATGATTCAGCAACTTTTGGTGCCTTTGTAAAATGTCTTCAGATAACAGGAATTAAAAATGATCTGAACAGTATAAAAAATGAGGCCAAGGAAGCCATCGTTACCGGAGAAATTTTGAGGGCACGATTTGACATGGTAGAAGATAAAATTGACAAAATATTGTCTATTCTTTCCGGGGAAGCTGCTGTTTCTTCAGCTGCCCCGCATTGACTAATGAAAATGTGCCTCCTTTCCAAATAGGAGGTGCACTTTTCAATAGTTTGTCGGTATGTCACCAAGAATAGAGAACCGTTCATGTGTCTAATCTACCTTTTAATTATAGGCTTGGATTAAAACGTCCATTGCTAACCAAAAGGTTGATAGTCTGGATTGGAACCTATCCAAGCAATTTACGACGGTAGAGAACACACGTATAACTAATAACATAATCGATTTTTTTGGCGCTCAAATCTCATTGTCAACCAAAAAGAACTGGACGGAATCGATTACGTACAACGATCTTCAAAACAAGATCAGAAATGTCTTTCGCCGTCAGCAGGATAACGAAAAGCAATCTCCTGCAGCAAAGCTTTTGAAAATTAAGAAAGGTACAAGAAAGGGAAGAAGATTTCTGTAAGTTGCGAATATGCAATGCGTTTCCAAGGTTAATATATAATATAATTGTAGAAATGCAATTACAGAAAAAACGTGATGGTCAACGAAGAGTATGGCAAAAAAAATGAGAGATACTTGAGGTGATGGCATAGAGAAGCTCTTGATAGAGCAACTCCAAAGTGATGAGGAAAGCACGGATTCCGAATTAGGAAAGACTAAAAAAAAAACCCACGCTTGCGGGTTATGGTAGGCGGACAGATGAGGTATACAAATTGAGTGTATTCCTGATAATAGAATGCATACTAAATCAATTCGTCTTTAGGCACGTCGCGCCTTTGAGCATTTTAATGAGTATGATCTCATTTTGAGAAAGAACGCTGAAAAAGAAAAGGAGACAAAGGATGCGGGACGATTCAAGCATGTAGTGATTAAACCCGAATTTCTAAATTAGGCACCCGACTGGGCACGAGTCCCCGAATTCCAAGTAAACAATTATTTTCTTCTTTTTCAATCTGTTCCCCCTTTTCAAACAACATTTTTTTTTTACATATTCATAGTGGTTTATTAAAATTAAAAATGGCATAGGTGAATTAGCTTAAACATATTTTTTTTCTTGAGGAATTATTACATTGCAGCCGTTTTGAATTCGTGGATTACTAGAATTGTCAGAACTACATGCAACCGTGATTGCGTTGTGTATTCTATGTACAGGTAAAATCGAATGTGCATTTGTATTTTCATAGCCTTTGCATATTTTCATAGCCTTTGCATATTTCCATAGTTATATTTTCTAAAATATTGTTACCAGGGTTGACAGGGATAAACCACCGTACGAAAGCGATTGTGTGTGGGGTGACACTGCCGTTTACAATTATGATGTGTTGAAAGAAATATTGTATCTCGCCGTAAAAGCAGGCAACGGATTCCGACGAATGATTGTTATTAAAGAATGTTTGAATATACGCACCTTTCATCGATCTTGCCATACAGCTTTTGTACATGATATCAGATTGAAATTGTTTGAATATTCTGGCGTCGGCACCAACATAAATTGAAGGAATGTTATTGGAAAGTGAATTACCATAGTTGTTGCATATAGTTGTCGTGGTTAAATGAAAGATTGGTGAATGAACGATTCGGATAGCATAGCGTGTAATAGTCAATAAGAAGCATACGGTGTGATGGATCGAGCGGAGTGGATTTAATTTCATCAAAGCTAGTCTGGATAATGTTCGGATGAGAGTATAGCATTTCCGATCCGGTCACCACACCTCCCGAATTGGTACATTCATAGGAGGCAATTTGTAAAAATTAATTCGATCTTGAGGACTGGAGCTTTTGTATAAGGAGTGGTTGATAGCGCTGGTGTTGTGGAGAATGTGGACTT